TGCTTACCATTTTCAGTCAGGGAAGCTGTGTCAGAGGAACTTAAAAAACTTGTTCAAAAAGACATTATTGAAGAGATTGACTCCTCTGAATGGGTTTCACCTATAGTAGTGACACAGAAGAAGGATGGAGGCATTCGCCTTTGTGTGGACTTAAGGGAGCCAAATAAAGCTATTGTGATTAACAGCCACCCTCTTCCTCACATTGAAGAAGTATTTGCAGAACTCCGTGGAGCAAAGATGTTTTCTACTCTTGACTTGCAGAGGTTATGTTGCATGAAGAGAGCAGAGACCTCACAGCATTCATTACACATGAGGGACTATTTCGTTTTAAACGGGTTCCATACGGTCTTGCATCTGCCCCAAGTGCCTTCCAAAAAATGATGTAATTGATTCTGAAGACTCAACATGGAGTTCAGTGCTATCTGGATGATAGTATCGTGTTTGGAAATACTTCTGAGGAGCATGACAATAATCTGCAATCTGCACTAAACTACATCAGCACAACAGGCCTCAAGCTCAATATGTCTAAATGTAAATTTAAACAAACAGAACTCTCCTTTCTGGGGCATACAATTTCATTGACTGGACTAAAACCTGATCCAGATCATATCCTAGCAATTTCAAGTGCTCCTTCTCCATCAGATTTGCAAACCTTACGTTCCTTCTTGGGTCTAACCTCCTGGTATGCAAAATTCATTCCCAATTATGCTTCTATCATTGAACCGTTATGAGAATTACTACGAAGAAGTTCAATGTTGGTGTGGACAAGGGATGCACAAGCTAGTTTGGAAACTGTGAAAAACTTGATTGTACATAGTCCAGTACTTGCACTATTCAGTCCTGCATTGCCCACAATTTTAACTACTGATGCTTCTGATTATGGACTTGGGGCTGTCCTCACACAACTTCACGAGGACACAGAGAGGACTGTTGCATTTGCTTCAAGGACACTGAGTGGTGCTGAGAGAAAATATTCTACGGTTGAAAAAGAAGCACTTGCTTGCGTCTGGGCTACTGAAAAATGGAGAACTTACCTGTGGGGCTGCACATTTAAGTTGCACCCAGACCACAGCCCTTTGACAACATTGCTAACCACAAAAGGACTGAGAAGAGCGGGGAATCGTATTGCTAGATGGTCTGCAAGACTACTCTCTTTCAATTATGAACTGGAATATAAGCCTGGAAACCAAAATGTGATTGCTGATTGCCTTTCTCGCCTGCCTTTGTCTTCACCAGATGGTTCACTGGAGGATGAGGATGAAGTAGTTGCACTTATTACAATCACTCTTACTGCAGTAACAAGAGAGCAATTCCAAGCTGCTTGTTTAGCATGTCCAATTCAACAAAAGCTATGGGAATTTCTGACAAAGAGATGGCCCAGTAACCCTAAAAACCTTGACCCAGTTTTGCTGCCTTATTTTAGAATTTGGGATGAACTTTCTTTGCTTAATGGCTGTGTGGTACGCAGTACTCACTGGCTACTTGTGCCAGAAGAATTACAGCCAAAACTCATACACCTGGCACATGATATGCATCAAGGTATCGTCAGAACCAAACAACGACTACGAGATCTGTATTGGTGGCCAGGGATGGACTCCCACACTGAAGCAATCATAAAATCCTATGTCACTTGCCAAATGCATGATAAGACAGCAGTGACATGTACCCCACCGTTACAGCCTGTTACTCTTCCAGATTCTGCATGGGAAAAAGTTGCTATTGACATCGTAGGACCCTTTGGGTATGTCTACACTACAGCACTAATTCGAACTAACTTAATTCGAATTAGTTAATTCATACTAAGCTAATTCAAACTAGTGTATCTAGACCTAAAAACTAATTTGAATTAGCATTTTTCTAATTCCAACTAGCATGTCCACATTGAGTGGACCCTGAACCGAAGTTAAGGCTGGCCGAACATGTGCCGGCAGGGCATCAGGTTAGGACTTAGAGCGTGGAGCTGCTGTCTCAGGCTAGCTGAGGGCTGTGCTTAAAGGGACCCGACCCCCACCCCAGACAGACAGTTCTCAGGGTTCCCCACTTGCTTGTCTACCTCGATGAGGGACAGCAAAGCAGTCCTGTCTTGGAGTGCCCTGAGTGCCCACACTCAGCACATCACAGCACTCGGCCATCAGCCCAGCT